GATCTGCAGGTTGAAAGAACAGGAAGCAAGGAGGAATAGTACAAAGTTCCTCTGACTACAGAGCAAGTCTGACAAAGTTTCAGCCAGTGTTAGGGGAATGCTGCTGCCACAACTGCTTGTTGACAAAGTACTGTGATTCACAGATTCTCCTGCTTTTAGGAGCACCCCAAGGACAGTATGATCTTACATGGAACATACTTAGGACAAAATTTGTTGGTCATATATCTAAAGTTTGAATTTAACTAAAAGTCCTAAAGAGTACTTGTATTTGTCAAGTCTGACAACTCTTTAATGGAAGGTGTGGAGAATATATGTAGGTACAACAGCACAGTGACCCACTCACTAAGTCTGAGTGAGGTATTGCTCTTGCTTGTAAAAGACACCAATGGAAAACTATCAATTTGTCACCATCCTTGAAGTAAACCCATAAGCCACTTGGAAGCAAATTGACTACCCTCAGCCTCTTCAAAACTGTATGCTACAGCGATTTTTTTTTTTTACTATAATCAATGCAAATTCTGCATATGAAATTGTTGTTGTTGTTTTTTCCTAGAGGGCCTCAGTGTCTTTGCAATTCAAGAACGCAATGATTCATTGGGTCAGGATTTTATGTAACATTCGGCTGGACCCAAGATCTATTTTGTGGCTCAAGTCAGTGATCACATATGGCAAACTCTACAGGTTTGGGTACTAAGGAACAGAAGAGTATCTTCTGTTTATAGCAATTCCTGGTGACCCAGTTGGGCAATTTGTGCTTCCTGATCTCCTAATTTTGGGTTCTTCAGCTTCAGAGCTCTTGGCTCTTGGACTATAAGTGTGTTTACTAGGGATCAACATTAGTGTTTCATTAAATATCAATCTGTTGTTTCTGATTGATCATGCCAACACCATGCCAACACATGCGTGCAAACACAGACACACACACAAATATACAACAACAAAAAAAACAAGTTACCATCACAAACTAAGTAATCTTAAGTAACACTAATCATAATTGAGAGAAGCTTGGTGTCCAGGGAACCCATTTAGGTGTTGCTTTGGGGATGAAAAATAGAGATTTCAAGGATGAAGATTCCACTCATTCTTCTAGATAAGCTACCTAAATAAGCAGAAATGCTAGCTGAATGTTAGAAGAAATCTAGACAGAATGAGAAAACATTAAAAAGAAAGATTTAAGACCTGCAAGACCAGATCAAGTGCCAGGTGCATAGTGTGTTTCACTAGATATATAAGTCTTACTCAGGAAAAGAGGTTCAATATAACCATGGGAAAATTGTTAACTTGAGCTAGACGAAGAAAGAACTTTACTGGATGTGACATGCAGCAGAGGCCTTCCATCAGCATGACTCTTTAGCACAGCTCTCCTTTCTCCCATTTCTGAGATGATTGAAGACACATCCCTCAACTGAATCCCCCTCAGATACACCGCAGGTCATGCATGTACCTTTCAAGTCCATGCCTGTATCCCTGGAGAAAAATAAGGACCAAGTCTCATGCTTTGGTATTTGACACTTTGGAAGGACAAATCTGATCCTAGAACTCCACATATTCTAATGAGGCCTTTATTGTGACTACATTCCAATCCAGTTTCTACTCCACTCAGTTTTGTTCCCTGTTCTCACAAAGTGTGCTGATGCTAAGAGCAGTTCCCAATCAGTTTCCTGCACTCTCTTCTTGGTTTCAGACACCACATTTCAGGAATGATTGAGAAGTTAGTGTGTCCAGTTGTACTTTTGTTTTTGTTATGGTTTGTTTGCAGACACATTTGTCAGCTCTGTTCTTTATAACTTCTTGTATTCTATGTCATGCATATGAGAATCTTTCCACTAGAAGAGTATAAAAAATTCCGTGTATCTCAAAACTACTCTAAGATATGTTAAGGCATCATTCTTTTTCCAAATTCTAGTTTTCACAGCTTACCTAGTTTCTCTTACTGAAATGCTTAACTTATGATTTTTTTTCTCCAAGTGCAATGTTGGCTGCATTCCATAGATTTTTAAAAAGGATTTATTTATTTATTTGTAAAGTCAGATATGGAGAGAGGAGGAGAGACAAAGAAGATTTTCCATCCAATGATTCACTCCCCAAGCAGCCGCAATGGACAGAGCTGAGCTGATCAGAAGCCTGGAGCTTGGAGTTTCATTGGGGTCTCCCAACTGGTACAGGAACTCAAGACTTTGGACTGTCCTAGACTACTTTCCCAGGCCACATGCAGGGAGCTAGATGGGAAGTTTGGCTGCAGGGATTACAACTGGTGCCCATATGGGATCCTGGTTCATGCAAGGTGAGGACTTTAGCCACTAGGCCATCAAGCCAGGCCCCATCAATAGATTTTTTAATATCCACCATTTTCATATTAATTTTATTTTATTTTTTTATTTTTTTTTTTTATTGTTGCTTACATTGTATTATGTAGTACAGTTTTATAGGCGCTGGGGATTCCCCCCACCCCTCCCATACCCCTCCCCCCATGGTGGATTCCTCCACCTTGTTGCATAACCATAGTTCAAGTTCAGTTGAGATTCATTGCTTGCAAACACATGCCTAGCATAAAGTTCAGCGTCTTATTGTCCAGATAAGTTCAGTGGCCTCTTGGGGAGACCTTCTATGGTCTGAAGATAGGTCTAACAGAGTAAAAATCTGGTCAGTTAAAAGCCCCAACAAGGCCTCAGTATCAATATACAACATTATGGAAGTAATTGACATAGTAATGGGTAAACAATATGTTAAAAATAATGCAAGTTCCATTCTTCGAAACATCTGGGTTGAGAGGTCCCATTTGTTTACATATTAATTTTATTTTTAAACATTATTCACGCAGGTATGATTCCAATTTTTCCCCTTTAAAGAACTGTTTATGTGCACTTTCCAAATAAATTACAGGTGGAAGGAATTTTATAGGCAAAATGGTTGTCAATAAGACCAAAGCCTTTATGACAAAAATGTTCAATCTACAGATGCTCTTTTTATCTCCTTTCTGTTGTTGTTTTTGATTTGCTTTAGAGTGAGGAATGTTATAGGATGCCTGGCCTAGCAATTTTCAAGATAACTTCAGAGACTCTGTGAACCAAGGTCTCCAGGCTTGCTGCAAGTTGTTAAGATGTCTAGGATCTGATCCTACCCCATTTTTGTGTGGTTTTGTGACAGGGAAAAAAAATCTCTCCTTTTGCACATGCCTCAGCATCTCCATGTTTACATGAAGGAAGAATTTTTTGAGTCCAGCAGTCCCTAGGAATTTTCTAGCTCTCACCAGGAACTACAGAGATGGACAGGGCCAAAATAAACTGAAGGGAGCTGAGGTATACTAGTAAGTTGGGGACCTATAAGAGGGACCACACGCCTGAGCAGTCTCTTTTCTTTGTTCATTACTCATGCATAAAGGTATGTAGTGCATGCTTCACAGCTGTGGAGGTCAAGGATTACACAGGTCATATGAAGGATTCATTCATGGATTGAAGATTTAAAACTTCAGCAGAGCTCTAACTCAAACAATGGAGAAACCAGACACACTTTGAATGCTTAGCTGACATGTTTTTATTTATATATGTCCCCTCTTTAGATGATAATGACAAAAAGCACATGGATACCCCATCCAACCCACCCCCAATAAAATACAAAAAATTCATTCAGCATGTACAAGCATTAGGGCATATCCAAATTCATCTCACCGGGGGACCAGAGCCAGAAGTTCAATCTGGGGAAGAGTGGGGTTTGCCTGAATGCTCCAGGCCAGAAATTGAGCAGGACGTTGCTGAAGAGACCCTGCCACTCTAGGTGCTAGAATCAAACCATGATGAAAAATATTTGCCTATCCCTGTTATGCAGTCTAGAAAATGGGAATTATCTCTTGTATAGATTCCAGTAAGATCTACAGTCCCACAAAAATCTGTGCCTCAGGGTTCCCATTTGCACAGAAGGGCGAAGAATCCTATCCTGAAGATGTTGCAGGGCTATGATGAGGCTGTGATTAGAATTTGTCCAAAAAATGTCAAAAGTAAAGTGCAGTACAAATTTAAGGGAATTCGGTTGATTGATTGTGATTATAGCAGTGCTCCAGGAATAAAAGTGGACTGGCTTATGGACCCAGGGTCTAAGAAAGTGGTTGAATTTCTGTGCCTTAGTTTGGCAACGATCAAAGATAGGTAATACTTGCTGCAAAGGATAACTTCCTTAGTTTCTTTGGCCCCAGGAAGTCTCCAAAGCCTAGCGCTTGGGTAAGGGCTGGTATGGTCACTGGAAGTTATTGGAAAAGTCACAAAGGTCAAGAAGGAGGAAGAAGGTGGCATATGAAGCAGGGGGTCATTCCTATTCTCACACATAAAAATAAATACTGGATGTAAGGCATTGAATTGGGAGTGCGGATGGAGGCAGTGGAGAGGAGTGAAGTGTCGCAGCAGAAAGGGGCGGGAGGATACTGTCCCATACACATTCACTTGCTGGCTTTCCTACTCCTAAAAGGTTAATATCAGTGCCTGCACATGTAGAAGGGGAAGGAGATAAAACCAATAGTAAAATAATATGAGTTAAGGAAGAGAGGCCTCTCTCGTCTTACACTGCTGCCCAGCATTTTAAGGTATCGGGAATCTACAACAGGCTGGATTTGTGCACTTTCATGTTGAGGGAGGAGCCGGCCATGGGTATCAGCATTATTGGGATAAAGCTAATCTGTTGTTACATGGGCAGGGTTTTTAGGAAATTGATCACTGAGAATTGATTGTTAAGACTGAACTTTGTGATTGCCACTTGAAGAGCAGCAAGTGGGAAGTTGCTCTTATTACTTGAAATGGGGTACTGAAACTGAATGGATGAACAAGTTTGGGGAGAAGGCCAATGGAAACTAATGCTTGGTAAGCTTATACTTTGGAAATGGGGAAGAAAGACACTCTCTAGCTGCTCCTGTTGCTGCTGCTATTGTCTACTCCCTGCCCAATTCCCTTGGCCAGGGGCTTGGACTCTCCCAGGGAACTGGAGTGGTTGCCTCATAGGGCATCATTTGACACCTACAAGTTAAGGCAAACAAGCCAGTAGAGCACATTGAAGAAGAAAAAGGTCACAGGGAAAACAACCCGTGAGTAGTTATCCAGGCGGTAGATGTGGAAACGGAGGCATCCTTGCTGCCAGGTGCTGCCCTCACAATCAGGGACGGTGCAGAAGTACTTCCGGAAACCCTTGCAGCACTGGTGGCAGGCCAGCTTGGAGCAGAAGCTGCGGGGACTCTGGGTGCCATCTGGGCTGGGGACACGTCCAACAGGGCAAGATGAGGGCTCCTCTCCATCACTTCCCTCAGCGGTGACAATCTCACACACGAAAACTTCCTGATTCTGGCGGACACGAGCACGGGCATGAGCACGAGCACGGGCTTGGGTACTGCTACCGAAACGAGGCTGAAAGGGACAAGGGAACAAGGGAGGAGTGAGAAATCAAATGAGATGAGCCACGCTGAAGTGCTGCCTTGGCGTTTTCTGGGACCTGTCCTTTGTACTATTTCTTGACCACCCCCAGAGCTCCCATCAGTAAAAATTGATTCAACTTTCCCCATCACCTTGGAACTCCCCGCCATCATTGGGCAATCTGGCTACCCATGTGCCATAACCCTTGTGCCCCCGCTGGTCTAGCTCCACATTCCCAAAAGCTTGCCCCCATTCCCATACCCAGGTCATACATAGCGGAGCTTCGGAGAAGCATGGGTTTTCATCTGGTTGTAGGTCAGAAAGTTGAGCACAGCAAACTCCAACAGAGCACAGAAGCAGAAGACAAAGCAGATGGCGATATAGAAATCCAAAGCAGTGATATAGGAGACACGTGGAAAATTCTTACGGGAAAAAGTCCCCAGTGTGGTCATGGTAAGTACAGAGGTGATCCCTGCAAGAGCACGGAGACAGAGGCAGCTCAATTTCTGACTCCATGTAATATACTGCTCAAAGTATCCATTGAGATGTCAGTTCAAGCTAACTCAAGGTCATGTGTCCATGCTTTTGCCTACCTTACTCTCTTACCTAAAGAGGTCCGGGCTGGAGCAGACTCCTTCTTAATCCAAAAGGAAACCCAGGAGAGCATTGTGGTCACAGAAGAAGGGACATAGTTTTGGAAGGCAACATAGCCAAACCGCCTGCTCACATTGAAGAAAAATGTCATGACCATGAAATCACCTGTAAGACATGCAAAACACTGATTCATTAAAACACTGACATAAGGTCTCCCTTCCACCAAAGCAGGGCGTCCACATTAAAGGTCCTATTATTGATCTCAGAGGAGTCCCTACACAGCCTTATGAAAGAGAAGCCATGTTCCAATGTAACACACATAGGAACAGAAGAAGCCCAGAGAGATTTCCTGCAAGAGCCATGGTCAGTTCAGAGCTAAGCCAAGGCCAGAACCAGGATCACTTCTTGTTTGGTTCACTGTCTCACACAATATCTGTCTTTCCAGGGTGACAGCTTAGTCAAATGAAAGTGAAAAAAAAAGTTAGTTCTCCAAATATTAGCTGATTTCCAGATTACCAAGGCCTTCACAGCCAATTGGATGATTTGTATATTCTCAGAGACATGGCCAACAGTGTACAGCTGATTCTTAACGTATCCTCAGGAATGAGCCACCAGTGGCCCGTGCTGTGCTGGAGGAGGTATGGGATCTTTTGACCTCCTTATTACATATTCACCATTCCACTTGTGACAAAAGCACTCACTCACTTGCCCTTTTTTTCCTGCTCCACATGAGTTATGGAATTAAATCTAAACTCTTCAATTTGCCCCTGAAGGCTGACTGTGATGTAGCTCCCACTGACATCTTACACACTCGTACTAGCATGTGTATTTACCTAAATCAATGCTATCTACGCTCAGATTTCCTGAAATAGCCTGCAGATTTCAGTACTGAAACCTCAGACTCCCTGTTCATAGTCTGTAACTCCTTATCCAAACTTGGTGTTTGTAGAAAATGGAAGAATTATTACAAATAAGAATTTTAGGCTTGCCAAATATTCAGTCACAAGGCTGACTGAGGTGTTCACATTCATTTTGGCATCCCTGATTCTGGCTCTCACCCTAGATGACAATATCCCAGAAAGGACTGACCGAGAACCTACATCTCTACTGGCATATTCTGTTGTACTCTTCATCTTGTCCTATCTGACACATCCAACGAAACTTTCTGCCTGCCATTGAGTCATAGCTTTTGTCCAAGTTCAGAATGTCACTTTCCAATCTCATCATCACATTTCTAATAGTTCCACTCTTGGATCTGTAGTGAGGCTAGGCTCTAAAATACCCAGCATACCCCACCAATATCAGCACTGTTCCACTCTGGTGTTACTGTGGAATTCCTTGGCCTTCAGTTTAGTGTGCTTTAGTGTAAGGCAGGACTCATGAAGATTCTGTGGTTGAGACGCCACCAATCCAAACCCAGCAGAGTTTAGAAACCAGTAGGTTATCAAAAACTGGTGTAGTTGCTGGTCAAGAACTTTGTGAAGCAGAGTAGGACACTAAACTGTCCATGTATTGTGTTTTTTTTTTTTAAGTAGCCCAACATTCCTGAGTTGAATGGCAAAGAGCAGTGTTTCTTACCTTGATAACACTGATACTCAAGGAGCAAGACTTCTCAAATTCTGGAAAAAGGCAAGGAAGTACTTGGGGTCCAAGGGAAACTTGTGTCTAGAGTAGTAGTTTTGGGGACAAAACTCCAGCAAAGGTGCTGTAGGGCCTACTCTTATAATTGCCTATTGACCAAAGTTTATTGATCAAAACTCTTAATTATTTTTCCCAGAGATCATGGCTGCAAATTAGGACACTTTTCGTTAGCTACAGCTATTTTCTACAAATGTCTGAGTTTCTACGTTCGTGATGCAAGATTTATTATTCAATCATATATTGTAATTTTATTTATTCTGACAAAGAAGCGTATTTTCTGCCTCTCAAGAGATAGAAACCAGTTGTTGAATGTTGAGAGATGAATAATGATACACCAGTATCTTCTTCCTGGGAAATGGAGAAGCATGGACAAGGGAAGACAGACATATAGAGCTGAGGAACCAAAGCCAAAATGATGCTCAAGACTAAAGATGCTTTTTGCTTTTACTGCTATTTGCTTTAGGTGAGACCAAAGTTGTCCAGTATACTATGAAAGCTGTAAAGTTACGACTAGATCTAGAAAGATGAGTTAATCCAAAGACTCAAGCAACACAATGAAGGAAAAGGAACTATGCTATGTGAACAACAGAAAGAGTTCAAGAGCTGTAATAATACCAGTCTTTTATTCTTGACTTTGTGGAAGAATGACCTTAATTAATGTAAGCTGGATAGTTCCAGAGACAAAGAACTTGATCCAGTAGTTGGAAGTTTCTGAGACTTCCTTGTCATATAAATAATGAACATTTTTTGATGAGTAAAACTATCTACAGAAGAAAGAAACCCTCTTAATAGGACAGTAAATTCACCATCATTGGTAAGATTGTATCAGAGCCTTAACAGTCATCACTTAAAACTGGCTTACCCATTAAGGATGAGTCTAGACTCGTTAAGAGCCTCCTGAAACAGAGATTCTTTGGTTTGGCGTCCCAAGTGGCCAGTGGATTCTGAACTCACAGGGGATGAATATATAAGTCTTCCCCAGACAGAACTACCCCAGGGGCTGACTGGCGGCATCTGAGACCAGTCCCAAAGGTAATTCTGACACTGGAGAAACCGTCAATCAAGACCAGCTGGCCTGAAGTGAAATAAAACATGTTCCTTGCTTCCCAAGAACCCTCATCTCTCCCAAAGAGTTATGATGCTTACCTAATTGTCATTGCTTCCATGATGATGATGGCTCTGGGGCTTTGTAGTCACTAGGGCACCATTTTGAAGAAATGCAAACCATCTACTAAACGGAACCACTAGTGACTTGAAAGCCCCTGGGCCTTGTCTCCTCTGCCACTTTTGAAGATGGGTCCCCACCTACTTTGGGAAACAAGTACAGAGAGCCAAGAGGCAGGTCCGTGGTTAGCTGGCAGAAGAGCAAGGATTCTACACGCAGGTAGTAAAAGCACTTCCTTAAAGCCCCCAAGAAAGAAGAGCATGTGTAAAGCAGCCCATAGCCCCTGCCTAGTACAGTGCAAGCAAGGCTCTAGCAGATGAGCATGAGCTGTCCCTCACCCAGAGACCAGCTCAACAAGGAAAGCAAAAGCAGGTTTTCTGCAGAAGGAAAGTAAGATGCCTCTCATGGACACATGATTTCTTGGGTGACTGGCTCCATCCACATTCTGGAAACGATGAGGGTAGTGGTCAGTACGGGCGAAGAGGATTTCCAGGACAGCTCTCTGGGAGCCACCCTGGGAAGATTCCTTGGCTTCATTCATATTACCTAGGAACACAAGCAGCAAAGATGCTCACACCTTGTAGGGAACTGAAGTTTAAGAGAGCTATGGCTGCCCTCCCACTCTAATCCTTTTTAGTAACAAGGTCAGAAAACCAATGGTCATTACATCTATGTTGAATATACCATCAAGCCTTAACAGGAATATGCACTCTTCAGGGCTATTCCTTTATAAGATAAATGCCTGTTTGCCTTTTTTTTCTGATCCCAGCTTGTTCAATAAACTAGTTATAGTTTAAAAAAAATAAATAAATGTCAACACAATAGCCATTGTAGCTGCTGTAACTTCTGCAGACTGTCCCAATCAACTCAGCTGACAGAATTCTAGGCCTCCACCTCTTATCAGGATAGAATTTGCTTCCTGTTCAACCAGCTTGAATTGGTGCTAGGTACAGAGAGCTTCCTTGAGCTCAATTGCCAAAAGTTATCCAAGGAGGTCATTGTTCTTCTAACAAAGACTTTGAAAGTGAAGGGTCTGCACTGTCACAGCTAGCTGCAAATTATGACAGAAAAGCAACAACAACAAAATCACTTTACTTACCTGTTCCTCAGGGAGCTTGGCAAAGCACTTACTTCTTTGCAGATGAGACTGAGGCATAGTTATAAAGTCTCAGTTTCCTCTGCAAACAGTTGTAAGTACTTAGCATGTATAAGACAGGAGCCATTCCCTATATTTCCACAGGATGAATGTGTAGCATTAGTAAGGATGGCCATCTCCAGTTATGCCTACCACCCTCCTGAGTCTCAAACTACCCCTGGATCCCGTAACAAGCTTACCAGCTGGGGTTGAGATAATTTCAGTTTTGTTGCTCACTCCTGTAAAATCAAACTGCAAGAGCTTCCAGGAGTTCTTCTCATTGATTTCGAGCTTGAAATCATCCCACTTGTATATCATCTCATTCTCCGGATAGGAAACTGGAAAGCAATGTGGGAAGGAGAGTCACATGAGATTGGAAAGCCCAGTGGAGGTCTCTATCAGCATGGAGTTGGCTTGAGCAATGATTTGGAGTCTTACTCAGACATCACCAGCTGTGGGACCTTGCCTCTCTTACCTTATTGTTGAAATTTACTCAGTAATTGCATTTCCTGAGTGTTCCTCAGCAACAGGAGCTGTGCTGGAATGACAGGATGAGCAAGGCAAGAACTCTACCCTCAAACATTGCTATTTTATCACTAAAGACAATTAAGTATCCACCTGTGAATTTTGGAAATGCTCTAAAACTATTTTGCCCATTGAACATAAAAGAAAATAGGGGAAAACACTCGGAAAAGACTTCAAAGAGACAGTGACATTCCAATTGAGCTGAAAGTCAAGTGAAAATGCTTTTGATATAGATGAGGCAAAGGGATGAGGGGCAGCACAGAAAGGTGAAATGTCTAGTGTACTGTGGAAATGCCAAAATTTCAGCTATGGCAACTCACACTAATAGACAATGAGATGCACAGACAGAAGTGCATGGCAGAGATCATTTCATAAAGGGCTTTGTGTTTTTCCAAAGAATTTGAAATTGATTCATGAGATTTAAGGAACAATTTGAAATAAAGAAGTGACGTGCCATAGGTGACGTTTTAGTTAAGTCACTCTGGTTCTTATGTGATTAGAGTATGTTGGCAAGGAGACCAGGTATGAGATGTCAGTGCAGCAACACAAGTACAAGAAAAAAAAGTGAAGTTCACAAGCCAAGGTAGTGACTGAACATGGGTAAGTAGACAGGATTACTAGATATTTTGGAGAAAAAGAAACACAATGTTTATGTAGGAGGTGAAGTACAGGGAAGCATCAAAACTTTCGGCTTGGACAAGTGGCTGCTCTTCAATGAGACGAGAGAGAACACAAAGGCTGCACGTTTGTCCTGGAGGTAGGATTTGGGAGGATGTGATACATTTAGTTTCAACATATTTAGATTCAGACTGAAGATGTTATAGAAATGTAAGAGGAAGACGAGAGAGACCTGAACCAAGGTACTAACAGTGGAGATGGAGACGAGCAGCAATGTTTTAGATGCGTGTCAGAGCTGGGTAACTGACTTGAAGTGGGTTAAAGAGAGTGAGGAGCCTACATGAGGTTCCAGGTGGAGCAACACAATATTGTCAGCAGGAAAGGGGATGAGGATGGAGTATATACAGAGGCCTAAGATCTTGATACCATCTAAGGAGAAAAACTGAGATAGAAAAAAATACGAAGGGTAAAGATGAGAAAAAGCAGGGATCCAGAATATCTCTGGGGCTCCAGAAACCTAAGAAGGTACTCACAGCTAGAGAAAGACAGAGGACAAGAGTGAGAATCCATTGGAAATCTGAGCATGTGAAGAGAACATCCAGCATCAATGGTCATCCTAGAAGGGAGAGAGGATCCTCATTAGGCTGGCCTTGAATACTTAGCGATTCACCCAGCTTTGTGCGGGGACCACCATCAATGAATGTCAACAGTAAAATTTATTACAAAAGTCTCAGAGACTAAAACGGAGGAAGGACAGCCTGGCTGTGTCTGTCTACTGTGGACTCCATCGTCAGAGAAGTGTATGGACCAGCTTAAATGGATTTTTGTTTTTTTCACCCCGCCCGGCTTTCAGGATCTGTCAACACTCTTTCTCTCACTTACCTTCCATTCATACCATCCATACTCCACTTTCCCCTGCCTGGCATTCAAGTATTCAGCCTGCTCTTAAGAATCTTTCCAACCGTTGTCTTGCTGCTCCGCCTGGACAATTCCATCACCGTGGACGTGTCTTTAAATCCAGTGCCCACTTGGGATGGAATTGTCCGTGCAGTGCAGTTATACTGGTACCTTCTAGTTGAAGGAGCACTGGGCTGGTCCCAAGGAAGTGAATACTAGGCCCAGTTCTGCCGCAAACTTGGTGAGCAGCTTTAAACAACTTTTTTAAAATTTATTTTTCTGATATTTGGTGTTTTCTATATCTGCACATGAGAGGGTTAAACTCATGATCTAGGACAGTTGGACAGGCCTTTAAAGTATCATTCAGGATGAGACACCCCCCCCCGCCCATGAACTCATAAGCCCACGAATCTGTTTTTAATCAGAAGGGAGGGAGTGCCCCCAGAGATGAGACTGCATAGATCAGACATACCTAATTGTGTACAACACCTTGCCATCCTTGTGGATGCGGACCATCTGGTTGGGCATGGTGATCTCATGCTCTTGGGTCCTCTTAGAATTCCTAAAAATTGTATCCGGGATCCATAGCTGGCTCACCACATTTCCGTTCAGAACAAGAGTTTCAAATGTGTCATTGTAACAGAGGCGCTCGTCATACCAGGTCTGGTAGAAGATGATGTCAATTGTGTATTCCTGATGGGAAGGATGGAAAAGCACACACTGGGGCTGAGCAAAGCACATTCACATGCAAGCATTTCTTGTGCCATTATCTAATCTGAAGACAACAAGGGAAGAAAGCAGGAAATAAGCGAAGTCCCGTCTTTCTCTGTATTCAGAGGCTGTTCCAACATCAGGGCTAGGAGGGACTCAGAAGTTACCAAGGCTAATAATCTCAGCCAAGAAATCAGTTATCAAGGATGAGAGGAGCTAGATTCCCATATCTTGCAGCAATTCACAACTTTCTCACATGGCTCAGAACAATGGAAAGGTTTGCCTTAGATGGATCTCGCTACTACTTTATCTTACCATTTCCTTTATGCTCACTAGAAACACGCCGAGAAACTCTAACACCTGCTATAGATGAGAGGTTTACAGAAATACTATTTCATGGAATCTAAAATGTCATTTTGCACATTTCTCAAATCAAGATGCATTTTTTTTTCTGAATGGAAATTTTATTTTTTTATTTTATGATACAATTCTATCAGCTCTAGGATTTCCCCTCCTCCTTCCTGAATTCCCTCCCCTCTCAATGCTTTCCCCTATGTTATTAAAACAGTATAGTTCTTCATAAGCAGTCATAAGTCCATCATTCTGCTATTTAAGTGTATCCTGACATTGTGCTCACAGCCAATGGCAGACAGCCAGCATCCTATCAAGGTATGTTTAACAGTTTTATTGGGAGTCCATCTTTGATTTGGAAGTAGAGCTGCATCCTGCATTGCATTTTCACAGCAGGAAGCTTTCCCCTACACACTCATGCTGTGCCTTTGCTCTGTTATGTTTCAAATGAGCATTAATTTTAGTTTAACAAAATAACAACTTTAAGTTTCTTGCACATCATCTGATAACAAACAGCTCTGTCTCCAGTTTAACAAGGGAGCTTGGGATGTACATCTTTTAACTCAGCTGAAACTAGAAACCCAGTGTTTAAAAATCACCTATGATAAAAGCTACAAGAAGGCCGCTTTAGCAACTGTTGGTGCTGTGATAGGCAATTGATTCTAGACTGGTCATTGGCTTTTAAGTTTCCATCCAGCATTTAAAATGGTTAGAACTACAAGAGTGGTAGATATAGTCAATTAAAATGGATGTGTCATTGGCTCAGGATTCCCTTCCTGAGGACAAGGCCTGTGCTCTGTATAACATCTGATTTATGGGAGGGTGCTCAAACAATTGCATTGATTGTGCAAGGGAAATGGGCCCTCACAATGTCCTAAAAGGTTCAGCTACTTCAAATGTAAAACAGGCATCCCAAAGGCAGCAAGGCAGCGTCGGCTATCCTATAGGCTGCAGTAAGATATAGGCTCCAAGGAATCAAGCTTAAAACATTACGAAGCTCTGTAGGTAGAGGGCAAAGACACATCCCTCCTCAACAACTCCACCGGGGTCAAGTGCGCTATGCAAGAACAATGACAACACACAACACTGAAGAACTATTTGGAAACACACAGAAGCCAAGACTTCTTAGGGAAATTTAGTACCAAAGAAGGATTTGGAATTTTCAAAAGGCACTTGGCCCAAGCTAAAACACCACCTTATTGGCCAAAGAAAATCTAGGTCCTGGCTCTTTTCTAGAACAGTTCTATGTTCCACACCAGGTTTGTTGACTTCTGGGTTATTATATTATCCTTTGGGCTTGTTGGATGTCAATATTTCTCAGTATCTTAGGTTAGATCAATGTTGGTATTATTAATAGGCATGAAACAAGGCATTCATCTATTGTAAGGCTACTGTCCTGATGCCATGGAGATAGATAGAAATTAGTTTCCCAAAACTAAATAGTTAGGTAGCTGCAGCTACAATTTTTTTCACCTTTGGTTTCACAATACCTTGGTTCTCTATAAATCCTATATGAATCCTTGCTTACCTTTGGCTATGTCTATTTGTAAGGCCCATTTCACAGCCCAGGCTCTGAGCTTCCACCACTCACACGGTGTTTGCTGGGCATAGTTGGTAGGCTAGAACAATGTATGCCCTGGATACAGCCAAATCTGTAGCTGTCACAGTCACTGTGGGTCTCCATAGATGCAGCTGGCTTTGCAGGGCATCTTTCATTGCTAATGCATACTAATTCCTTAGCATCACAGATCCCATTGTGTTATGGTAAGCAAGTAATTACCACTAACAGATGAATTTAAGACCAGGTAACAAGCAAGATATAAACTAGAAATATTAAATGTTAGAAAGAAGCGTGGTGTAACAGAGAAGTTAGTAGCCATGGTGGGCAGAAAAGGTGCTGTAAACAAGACGCCTTATAAGCGGGACCCTGAAGGAGAAGGCTTAGCAAGTCACTAAGTCCCCAACAGGAAAGTGAGCAAAGGCTCAGCTCGGAGGTACAGGTGACCTGGGAACACCCAGAAGGATTGAAGAAGAAGCACTCAGGGAGAACTCTGCCTGCTAGGGGTGGGATTGAACTGCACTCTGCAAGCAGCTTCAGAACTACAGGAGGTACATCTCTCAGAAGATTACGTAGAGGCTGGATTGGTGTCAGCAGTGGCCTTCCTATATTCTATGGGAGAGGTAATGCAGCTAATCGGATGTACTGACACTAGAATATATAGCAGTAAGAAAAGGAGAAGGAAGGAGGGCAAAATTAGAGACACAAGGAAGGATTTAATAATTACACACAAGTTTACACAATTATACGAAAAAGCCATTCCATGATGACCTTTAAAGTTTGTTTGTTTGTTTTGAGTGAAAGGTAAAAATACAGAGTCATGATTCTGAAGGTCCTTGTCAGGAAATAAAGGACTTACCTTTTCCAATCTTGTTCTCAAGTCAGTGATGTTTGATATATTTTTACCTTCCTCCAGAAAAAAATGCAATCAATACTATTGGAATTGTCACAGAAGGACAGAGCATAAAGTGCAAATGTGTGGAATACACCATAGGGCATCCCCTGCACTGGGAAATATGATCACTGAATTCAGTACTCACCATGTCTAGGATAGAGAGAGGACCAAGACTATTGACAGAGATCTCAGCAGTGACCACTGTGGGCCTCTCTGTAAAACAAGCAGAATTAACTGAGGTCAATGTCAAGCAGCAGCTTGCAGCAGTGGACAGAGTGGTCAAAAAGGAGTAAAAGAGAGACAGGCAGGGTTTAGGATCTCATGGTTTCAGTGTTCAGTCCCAGTTCTTTGGTTGTTCTTTCACTGGGAGACCCAACGTGTTACAGTTTAGGAGTTGGATATACTCACAGATCAAACTTCTAGTTTAGATGCCTCATTTTATAGTTGGAAAAAAACAGGGTGAGAAGAAGTCTTGACCAAGGTCAATGATATTGCCAGGCCCACTCTTCCCCGGCTACGTCCTCACCCCCCACTGTGGTGTCTGGGAAGGAAAAACTTAGTTCTGCTACTCACTGCCAATTCCAGGGCGCAGCTTGTGGTCATAGTTACTCAGGATAGTGTTCAGGATGCGAGTGGCCTCTGGGAGCTTGCCAGTCCCAGCAGCAGGTTTTATTTCTTCGGAGGGGAGCTTTCCCCTGAGAGGCTCAGGCTGGGGGGCAGTGATGACATCAACGTGGGTGGAAGTCTGATTCTCCAATGTAGCCTGAGGTCCTTCAACCCTAGAACATACAAATAAACAATGCGGTTCGGCTCTCCATGCTGTTGGGGTGCCAGCCAGTACCTCTTGGAACAAAAGCACATCAAAATGTCCACAATGCAAGGCTTAATTAAATAGTAGCTGGTAATGGTAAATCATGAGACCCATTAGGCTTACTATTTTTTTTTTTAATTTTGCTGTTATGTGAAGACTTTCAACACTACCTTTTATAATCTGTATTAAAAAAAAAACTTCAACCAGAACCCAAAAACTTACCACCCCAATCGTAAAGCATTTTCAGCGTAAAATGAAGCAAGAGGGCATTTGTGTGGGAGATCTGGCTTGTCAGCCACTACTGCTACCCTTTGCTACCAGCCTGCCTGCCCAACACCACCTGAGAACAGTGGGCAGGCATCGGGCCAAGGCTGCTGAGGAATGCTTGCAAAAGCCAGAGCAAGGAAGGCCAGGAAATTGTAGGAATATTATGCAGTTTTGTTGGTTTTGTAATATTTCTTTTACCAGGGGCGGAAGTGGGTGGAGGGGGTGGGGAATGCAAAAGAAGGCTAAAGAGCAATTGTGAGCAGCTCAGTGAGGAAAAGCAGGAGGCTTTCCCCAGGAACTGGGTGGCCATAGGTCCATCCTGATCACCCTCCACAGGCATCATGGCTAATAATTATGATGATAGCAATCATAATAGCAATAATCATTTTAAAAGCCTACTTACCAATGTTTGAAACTCTCCTGCTGCATTCAAAGCCAGGGTACTGTTGTTTGTGGGGAGGCAGTGAGCAAAGGGGGAAAAAGGGTCTCTAACGTTCTGGTCATGCTTTAGTCCTCAGATTTCCTAACAGATGTGCTCACTTCCGGACAACTCAGAAGTTGTGTGCTTTAGATTTGAGCACTTGTATGTGTTCTCATTCAATAATAACTAAAAGGTTTATAAGAGCCTTTGATTTGGAGTCAGAAAAGTGATTTTTTGGGGGGGGGTGGAGCGCCTGCTGAATCTTTTCATCTGTGTGTAGGTGTCTCTTGCGAAGTGCTCAATAATGTTCCATGTCCTGTTCCAGGCACTGGCTACGCAGCGATATTTACTCTGTGAAAATTTATTGAGGTGTTCTAACACGATTTGGGTGCTTTTGTATTTGTATGTTACATTTCCAAAATGATGTTTTAAATGGTAGCCACTGTTCAGAATATGATTAGAGGCAGGAGATACGGGCTGGCCCCCATATTGCAAAGCACAGGACTGCCAACCTGGGCAGCAAGTGCGTTTTTTCTTTAGGATTTCAGGCTCTTAGAATTGCTTCACTGGCATGTAGATGTTTGAAGCTGAAATCGTTTCTCATGCCTGCAGCAGCTAATTCTCATTGTACACTGCTGATGAGCAGAGAAGGTCTTCATTTTCTGCAGTGCTCACGTCTCAGAAGCACATAAGCCAGGTCCTAAACCCTCTGAAGAGATAAACGCAGCAACTCATGGGCATGGATTGGGGGCAGAGGCCCAGCACATTGAGCAATGTGGCTGGAAACATGGCACAGTCCAAATTGGCAGCCAGTGAGAGGTTGTGCACTGCCAGCCAGGACCACCAAAAACCCTTCAGCAGCCCCTTCCACATGCCACAAACCTAAACAAAAGCAACCCCTCCCACAGGTTGACAAGTGCAAAGGCAAACACACATGAAAGCACTGGGACCACCAAAGGCCTCCTTGGCCCTAGACCAGCACTTCCAAAAACATAGTAGCAACAGAATTGAGGTTGCTTTGTTCCTACAGTTTGCCTTTGCCACTTATACAAATAAACCACAACCACATCCTGGGATCCTTGGAGCTAAGGAACTGCTGACAAAGCTTCTCTTTTTCCCAGCAAGCTGTTAAACTCACTTTAAGGGCTGGAAAAAATGAACTTGAGAAGCAAGTGGATTGTGGACAGGGTCTCTTCAGGCACCCGTGCCCTGCAGGTGTGACTCAGCAGGTGTACTACTCCCACCTGTCCCTAAGCTGGATGGCAAGGGGCTGAAACAAGAGAAGGTCCGCTGGATTTTTTTTTTTCTACATTAGCTCTCCGTTTCATTTCACAGTTAGAAAAACTGAGGCTCAGATAGAGAAAGGGCCATGCCCAGATCCTCACACAACTCATTTAAGACTGTACTTTCCCTGTTCAGTGTGGCCTAGCACTGTCACCTGTACAGCTCTTCCCTGACGTCACAGGTTGCCATGCTGACGGTGCCTGAACACGATACTGCAGCCCTCCCCACTGTGGCTGCGAGGGCAGCCTCCTCCTCCAGAGCATGGGCCCTCTTCCCCTGCTGTTTTCCTTTCTGCAATCCTCACTGCCTTTGGCAACCCCCACCCCGGCCAACCCACCCTCAGCCATCTTTTGCCCTAGCTAGTTAACCATGTCAGTTCTTTCAACCAGTTCAAATTCCATCTAGAGGGATGTGGATGACGGGAACTTCCTGCCATGCATTCCGAAACCTTTAGCCAGCCCCTGCTGAGGCAGCCCCTGCTAGGATACTGGCGAGCCAGCAGGGCTTCCTTCCACACAGCCCCTCCCCTGAGAAGCAAACGCAGTCTGAAATGGACAGAGAAGCCATCTCTCCTCTCACCCATAGGAACAAATAAGCCCACAGCCATGGAGACCATCAGAAAGCTCCACAGATTCGAATCCCAGGAACCTGACAGTTCACACCCAGCAGGAAACAATAGTGTTGGTGGGAAATAAAACAGCCATCTTTCAACTTCAACAGTCAGTAAACCAAGAGTAATCTTCCTAACAAAGTCTCAGAGCCAAAAGAAGGGGTGAGGCAAGCTCACTCCAGCGAGATCTGCAATGGGCACAGGGGTTGGAACCCAGCAGTACCCCTGGCCTTTGGCTCCAGTAGGCCCAAACCTCGGTAGGGTGTCTAGGGACGCGGAGTGAAGCCAGCGAGGCACCATGCCACTAGAACTGGAAGCCTCAGTCTAAACCAAGTTTCCTGCTTCGGACTAGCACACAGAGAGGTGGAATGGGGAGCGAGGAAAGTTCAAGTTGTCTGGTGCTGTATCTGGTACTCAGTAGGCGTCCCGGAAGAAAATATATAAATGTCTGTCATATAAAATATGAGAGAGAAAGGGAAAAGGACCCAACAATGTTAACAGTTTTTGCTCATTTTGCGCTCTGCTAGCCCTCATAGCACCTTCCCAACTTCCCTAGGCCGCAACAGCACGAACTGCTGTCTTCCTGCTCAGGGAAGCGGAGTGCTTGCTCCCTGGCCGCTGCAGTGCTCTGGCGAGCTAGTGACCAGGGACATGAGTGGCCAGGGACAAGATTCTCACCTTCCATCCCTGGGCTTCTAGTCAGCGGCACAGGACGCCCCATTTTAGCGGGAGTGTGGTGGAGCTTGGCTGTGCGTCGAAGAGCCATGGAGCCCGGCTAGACCACTAAATGAATCAAGGCAGGGCAGCAGGGCGCCCGGAACTCGGGGCTGCGAGGGTCCTGGAGGCCGAGCACAGAAGGCTCTCAGGTCCGGGCGTGGAGACTCACCTCGACTGCAGGAGCAGGAACGCGTTCAGAAGGACCAGCAGAACTTTGGACAACATCGTGTAGTTGACTCACGCGACCACCTGCGCAGACGTCGCTGCGTCCAGTCTGGTCTCACTGAGCGCGATGTGGCAGGTTTTGCTGCGCTCCAACTTTCACTCCTCCCACTAGCCCCGCCTCGCGCTCCCCACCCCGGCCCGCCCCCAGCCCCGATGGAAATCTCCGACGACTTGCTGGCCGCGGCAGCGAGGAGCTCGGGAGGGCGGGAGAAGGAGGGGGAACTCTGTCACCAACCCCCTCCCCACGCCCCCAGCCGCCACCACTGCAGCGCTGCCAGACAGACTCGGGGAAGGGAGGGGGGCTGGGGGAAGGGAGGGGAAGCGGGCGGCTGCTCCTGGGGCCCAGGGCTGGGGAAAAGGCGCCTGCAGCGAAGACCTGGAGCGGCTGAGGGTGGGGGAGGGGCGCAAGAGCAGGGGCTAGGGGAGGGAACCTTTTCGCTCCACCACCTCCTCCAGGCCTCTGGCACGCCGCAGAGTAGACAGTGCTATCCAGCCCTTGGCTGCTTCACCTGTTGCATATCGTGGCGCTTTCATAATGCCTCAGGGAGCCCAACAACTCCATACACTCTGGTCTTTTGGCATCCGAAGGCAGCTGGATTGCCTAACACTGTCCTTGGGCTAAGGAGCAAGAGAATTTGGGGGCGAGGCAGTGATGTTCCACAGAAGACCAAGCAGTACTGTTTGTTGCAGGACTTTCTCTGAGCTCTGTGCTGCGCCTGGTGTAACCTGGATCTCGGTGCAGCTTTTTAGCCTGTGGGACTGCAGTAGGAGAGATCTCCTGAAATGCAGGCGGCCCGGGAGAGCACTCTCTGAGGCTGCCCAAGCAAAGCTTTTTGGACACTTGGTGATATTACAACCGAGGGGGACAGCGCCTCTGTCCAGGGCAACATGTCAGTGGTCTCAAACATACTTGAATGTCATCTTTTATGGCTAGACCCTCCTGATTTATTTCAGTGGGAAGGATGGCAACGATTGATGTAAGAACTCCTGCCAGACACTAGCAAAAGCTCCACCTGTTGCTCTAGAAAGGACTGTGCACATGGCAGCATGCCTGGGGCTCCCTGGAGAGACTTTGCTGTACCTGGGTCATCTCACGCACCACTGAATCACACCACTCCACTTTGTTAGCTTCATAACACTGCTCACTAACTAATACTTTTCTGGGGGTGTACTGTTGTTTACAGCAAATCTCCCTCGTCCCACACACATGCTTGTCTGGTTCTCCATTGTATCCCTGAAACTTAGAGGAGATGTGGACACACAACAGGCACCCAGCAAATACTTGTTGCTGCCTATGTGCTGCCGTATACCCTGGGATCTGAGGCTTTCTTCAGACCCCAGTGCAAGAAAGAAGAAAAACAGCAGAGCAAATGTATGCTTTCCAGATTTAGGCTTCCTAACTTCGTGGCAGGACCAAGTCTACTGGCATGAGACTTACGCAATTGAAAACACAGGGACCCCTACTTTCCAGTGCTTGGCTTTGTAGTCACCTTTGAACAGGTGAACCGGCATTTTCTTCTTCCCTGAGTCTTGAAAATTATGCTGCTGGTTTTACCCCGGAGAGACACGTACAGAGCAGGAAGCAGCGACAGAGACTCGCTGAGTGCAGGGGACGTTCTGTTGCCCATCCATCTACCTGGTATTTTGTCAGCACTAGGCTGCTGCAGGGAGGGACAAATATGCACTTGCTGTGGCCAACCTTGGATTTGAAGTGTCTCATATTTATCCATTCAAGCACTGACAGTGGTGCTCCAGGAAAGAAAGGTTAGTATGAGTTCCCTGTATTTCCCTGAATGGAGCATGCTGCACATTGACCAGTAGGATTTAATTACATTTGCTAAAAGAGTGACTGAATCCTGGAAGCTGAAAGACACAAATGATTATAGCTGCTTCATTAGAGAATTCAAAAAACTTTTCTCTTACATGTTAAGATAAATCACACTGTGCCAAACTATGGAGTGTTATTACTGTTTCCTGGTTCTCTATGGATTTGCCATGTGTTTGTCTGTGTCAGAACCTGACTTGGGTGATGGCGGAGCATGAAGCAAAGCCTTAGATATAGCCTTGGCCTTAACATGTGTTCTGTCAGAGGTGTGGGAAGTTGTTGCAAAAATGACTAGTATAAGGAATCTTCAAAAAAATCGTGGAAAATGCATACTGGATTTTCCCATGCTTGGATTTCAAACAACTTTTTGCACTAAAATAAATTTACTTTGAAATCAGATTTCCACAAATCTTTTTTTTTTTTAAAGATGTATTTTTATTATTTTTTCATTGGAAAGGTGGATATACAGAGAGGAGAGACAGAGAGGAAGATCTTCCGTCCGATGATTCACTCCCCAAGTGAGCGCAACGGGCCGATACTATGCCGATCTGAAGCCAGGAGCCTCTTCGGGTCTCCCACGCGGGTGCAGGTTCCCAAAGCTTTGGGCCGTCCTCGACTGCTTTCCCAGGCCACAGGCAGGGAGCTGGAAGGGAAGCGGGGCTGCTGGGATTAGAACCGGCGCCCATATGGGATCCCGGGCGTGCAATGCGAGGACCTTTAACCACTTGTGCCACCGCGCCACCGCGCCAGGCCCGATTTCCACAAATCTTTTGAGGTACTGTTGCGCAAGGGAACAGATTGAGGACCCCAGATCCTCCAGGAATATACTTCCAGTGGTTCTGAGACCATTGCAGCATAGAAGTAAAGACATTGCCATTCCAAGAAGAGAGCTGACTGGGGTATTAAAACCAGAAATACATAGTACTTGGCAGAGAACCTGAGGGGTTTACCAGAAGCATTTGTGTGAAGATGACTTGTGAGGGGAAAAGCTGGAGTAGGACTCTGGACAGGCTAGCAGAATGCCTTGAAAGTAAGGATTGCGCTTTCTCCTGTGGGCAATGGGGGAGCTACAGATAAGTTCAGAACAGAAGGTTGCATGTCAAAACCTCGCTCCAAGCAAATTCTCTCTTGAGGAGGGGCAGGTTTAAGGGCTTGCCACTTTTCTCACAGAAAGGGAGTCATAGGAATCTGAAGGAGAGCACACCTACGAGGATGGCTGGAAACACAGCCACGGCAGGGAAAAACATCTAAAATGTGTGGTTTTCACGATTGGCGGCTCCATGGATGTAGATGTAGTGTCAGAAGCGGCAAAGGCAAGAAGAATGATAATATGAAAAGACTCAGAAATTCTTCCCAGGTGACCACGGTGGCAGAACAGAAATAAAGAGGACATTTAATGTTCCATTAAAAATAAATATTTTTTATCTAGCTTTGTGCTTCTGTGTAGATGTGTGAACACTCATGTAAGGGGATACAATTCCTACTCCCTGGCTATTTGTATTCCAGACATGTGTTCCATCAAGTTGATACTCAAGTTGGCTGTAAACACAGAGTTAATCTCAACAGGTGCATTTGCATAACTACATTAAACTATCTGTTGATCAGAAGAGAAGCAAGCACGCCCTTGCTAGTTGTGAATAATCAAATTTCATAACCAACAGCAAACCACTATGCACTCTGCTATTTATGTAGTTGAGGAATAAAGCCAGAGAGGCTGAGCAGGAAGCATGTGTGCTCCTGTCCCCACTTTGCATCATTTGTAGCACATGCATGACATGTTTTTCTTTTTAGGACAAGGGAAAAATACCAGCCCAGACAAGTTGTGTAAGACTCTTAGTTTCAAGTATCTGAGCTTGCAAGAACAATAGTTGTGCCAGAGACACTGGAAGAGAAAGGCTGGAGAAAAACTATCTATAAAGCTAAACCAGCTGTTGAGGTAGATGAAGGGGCACGCAGGGGACAATCAAGCTTTGGAACAGACGGGCTGACAGTGGAAGCAGGCCAGTAAGAGCTGGTGATAGGCCTCTAGAGGTTCCTGGAGACAGGACCAGGTTGCAATTGGAATTCCAGATCCTTCGCTAGATAATCAAGAACCAGTGACTGAAAGCCCTTGGGCCCCATATTGCCCATGTGTAAAAATTAGAGTTATAATGCATCCCATCTCCAGGAACATTTGTGATGATTCACAGTGTACACAGTGGCTGGCCCATGGTTAGTTAGGCTCAGTACTCACAAAAATGTACCAGCCATTGTCACCATTACTGATATTAGTTAATAGTTTGTAAATGGTAGTGCAACTCACCTGCTATCCCTGAGGTCTTGAGTAAAAGTCAGGATGTGTCTGACTGAGGCACAAAATGCCAGACCCAGACATATTCACACGCTGCAGAACCATGAGCAACACTGCAAAAGGCTGGAACTCTTGTGGACAAAACAACATTCAAGCCCTTGAACAACTGGATGACTTGGCTAGTGAGTGAGCACCTCAAGCTAGCCTAGTGGCACTCACTCTGCAAGTAAGAAGAGAGTCATAAAGAGTGATGGTAATTGAGTGTGACCCGCAGTTTGAATGGCATTTGAAGTCATGGAACTAGGTGCCATCTCACAAGGAAGGAGAAGAAGGGTTGAATTTGAATCCTGCTAAGTGAAATGGATATTCCTTAACATTGACACGAAATGCAGGAGAAACGAATTTGTACTCTCTCCAGTTTTTTGTTCCTCCTATCCACTTAAGGTTAGTGATTAAATCTCAAATTAATCAAAGCTGGTACTCAGGCACTCTGATTTGTAGCAGAGGCAGGAAGGAATGTGTTGTACCACAAAGTTGCTAGGCATAGAGACAGTTGGCATCTCAGTAAAGCCCACCCTACAGTGCCAATCCTTGGCCCCTTTGTGCATCTTTGTGTATGAGGGTAGCACTCGAAGCCCTGTACCATTTCAGTGGTGCCATTCCGGATGTTGAGTGACAAAAAATAAATTCATGTATTCCTGACATTTGCCTTCTTATACAGCAAAGCAGGAAAGATACAGACAAAGAAATAATTCTGATAATTTACAGTATCAAACTCAATGAAAATGTTCAAAATTTGTATAGATGAGAAGGACGATATGCGAATGCCTAGCAGCTGTCACTCTGGTCAGGGTGCAAAGGACATCTTCGGATCCAGAAAACCTG